GGGCTGCGAGCAGGTTTCAGGGGGGCTGCCAAGCAGGGCTGGCGTTACACTCGCTAGGGCCCAGCGCAGAAAGTCAAAGCCCTGCCACGCAGGACTGCAGCTTGGGGCTCTGAGCCCCACCACCTGGGGCTGAAACCAAAGCCTGAGCGACTTAGCTTTGCAATGCCCCTGTGGCATGGGGCCCTGGGAAATAGCCCTGTTTGCTACCCCTTAATGCCAGCCCCGACTTTTATATGCAGAAAACCAGTTTTTGAGGCACAGCTGGGCCGTGGAATTTTTATAGCATGTGGTGGGGCTGGGGGGAGGCTCAGAAAGAAAAAGGTTGAGAACCCCTGGTCTAAAGAACCTTTCCTCTCATAGCTGCATTGTGATCATGTTATGTCTTGTCCATGACCTGACAGTCCGGGTCTAATTCAGAATAAATGTTATGTTTCTTGAGATCTGGCTAAGCCATTCAGCTGACGCTTAGCTGGGCCACATGCAATTATTTTCTGCAGTTTTACAGCAGGGTAGGTCATGTAATGCCTCAGAAAGGAAGGAGGAGATTCTATGCAAATAAATGCTGCAGCCCATAGTGGAATCCTAATCCTCACCCATTAGGATTTGTTTGTTTATTAGTAGTCTGTAGCCTGACTTTGCTAACAAGAGTTATCTTCGAAGAAATCTGGTGTTTACTCCATCTGGCTGCTGACAAGCATTTGGGGCGGGAGAATTGCTCTAATCTGATTTTTTCAAAAGGTTCTATTTTAAATGGATCCACTGGATCCCTGGTTACATAGACAGAACACAAGGAAGAGACAGAAACTTCAGTAATGCCCAGGATAATAAAACCTATTCATCCTACTGACTATGTCCAGAACAATAAAACCTATTCATCCTACTGAAAGTTCAGGGTTAATGTTTTACTTAAAATACATCCTTTTGTAGTTTCAATCCAATAAACCATATCCTTTTATCAACAAATGTTCTACCACCACACCCACTGTAAAGAATACAGAACTTGGTGTTGGTGTCCATTCTGAACGTTTTCCTACTAGATATTAGATAGCTGTCCTCTGGAACCTTTTGATACAGAACTCTATTTGTTGTTCTTGGCCTTGAGAACATATCATTCTGCCTTAATTTTCCCACCCCGATGAATGAATTTATCTTCTCAAGGAAGTAAAGGCTCTGAGATGGATGCTGGCAATCAACCAACAACTGCAAATCCCTCTCACTCTGCTATGCACCAACCTGCTTTTGACAGCATCAGCAATTTAAGAATGTCAACTTTAAAGAGGATTTTTAAACAAAGGTTGCTGGAAATAATAGTTACCATTTTAATAAAAAAAAAAATTCTTAAGGCCAAACTATCAATAACAAAACAAACTGTAACGCTCTATTGCTCTGCAGTCTGAAATAAGCAAACATTAACTTTGTAATAATATATAAAGCATGGAAGTCTTTGGTGGGAAAAACCTGAACTGTCTTAAAACAGTGCACACAAACACGATAACACAAGAAGATTCAAAGCTAATGTTTAACCTCTATTAAAAAACAAAAAAAATCATCAGAAATGAAAACCATCTGGTGTACGGTTAAATTGTTTAATTCAGTCTTTTAGTCACTGATGGAAATAGCCTGGATTGCATTGCTACTGTACTAAATATAAATATTCAAAGAAGGAATACTCCACCAACATAGAGGCAAAATGATTTAGTGGATTGAACCTGGGATGCAAAACCTGGAACTCCACACTTTTAATCTCTGGCTCTTCCAACAGCTTGCTGTGTGACCCTGAACAAGACACTTAAGCCTTGATCCATCAAAATACTTAAAACTAATGAATAACTATAAGCACATGAATAGTTCCAATGGAGTCAATGGCAGAACTCCCATGGACTTCAATGGTGCAGTATCAGGAGGCCCTTATGGCCTGATCTAACTCCCACTGAAGTCACTGAGTGCCTATTCATTAATTTCCATTGCAGCTAGATTGGCCGTCTCGGGGTATGTTTACACTGCAGTCAGGATGTGCGACTGTTTACAGTATATGTAGACATACCCAAGCTAGCTTTCATCTAGCTCGCTTGCTAAAAATAGCAGTGAAGCTGTGCCAACACAAGTGGCAGCATGGGCTAGCCATCCAAGAACATACCCAGGGTCCTAGGCAGGCTTGTACTTAGGTGGCTAGCCCGTGATGCTGAAACTTCGCAGCTGTTTTTAGCAAGCTCGCTAAATCAAAGCTAGCCCAGGTATATATCTACACATGCTGCAATCACACTCCTGATTGCAGCACAGACATAATCTCTGAGTTGCAGATTCACAGTCTATAAAATGGGAATAGTATTGTATGAATTATCTTCCTCATACAGGTTTTATGGGGTTTAGTTTTGTGCCATGCTTTAAATAGATAATCGTCTATATACATCCACTGCTAACCTGAATCCAGACTGAGAACCACTTCCATATGTTATGTGCCTTTTATTACTTTATTCTGTATTTCATTTCTTAAAATGATTTATACAGGGCCAAATTCATAGCTGGGTAAAACTGGGACTGCTCCACTGAAGTTTATGGAGTGGTGCCAATTTACACCAGCGGAGAATTTAGACCATAGGATCTATTACAGATGGGATTTTCAAAAGCACTAAGCGCTGGTCTGCGTGTATTCCCATAGACGTCAATGGTAAAATTCCCATTGACATTATTGGGAGCGGAGTTAGGCCAGCCCTGAGTGTATCTGAAAGTTCCTCTCTCTGGATGTATATGTGCCTGTATCTGTTTCTGATTTGCTGTTTTAGTATTTTCCTCTTAAATATTTGGTTTAAAAAACATGGGAATGGAGCCAGTTTCAACTCAAAAAACCATATTCTTGCTGAAGACAACCAATCCCTTGTGGCTCCCATTGACTTCAGTGGGCTCTACGCAGGCATATCCCGAGCCACACTATGGCTCTAAACATGCCCTGAATATTCATTTATATTTTAGAAATAAGAATGAAAAGAACATTTAAAACAATGTGATTTTTCTGAAAATGTAGCACCTTGAAGATGTGTGTATAATCCAGTTTAAACTACTGGATTTACAGAGACTAATATTAATAGGAATTACCCCATGCAATACACCCTCCACTCTTAGATATCAGAACTGACCCCTGGTATTGAGAAACGAACGTTAGGTTCTGCATAAAAACTAGAAAAAAACATAAATGTAGGACAGTACCTGTTGGAAACTCTCTCTCAAATGGCTTTGATCTTCCGGATGGCAGAATTCTAAAATGTCTTTTCCCAGAAGATCCTAGAAAAGCACAATATAAAACTGTAAAAATACAAACCTGTGTGCTGATCCTATAAAGCTTTAGTTTAGAGCAGGGGTCGGCAACGTTCGGCACGCGGCTCGCCAGGGTAAGCACCCTGGCGGGCCGGGCCAGTTTTATTTACCTGCTGACGCGGCAGGTTCCGCTGATCGCGGTCCCCGCTGGCTGCGGTTCGCCGTCCCGGGCCAATGGGGGCGGCAAGAAGCCGTGGCCAGCACATCGCTCGCCCGCGCCACTTCTCGCCGCCCCCATTGGCCCGGGATGGCGAACCGCGGCCAGTGGGGGCCGCGATCGGCCGAACCTGCCGCGTCAGCAGGTAAATAAAACTGGCCCAGCCCGCCAGGGTGCTTACCCTGGCGAGCCGCGTGCCGAACGTTGCCGACCCCTGGTTTAGAGAGTAATCCTTGCTCACACACGTAGTCACATTACCTTCAATTGGACTACTCACCTGAGTGAGGGTTTGCAGGATTGATGCCCTACATTGCATTTAGGCTGTTGCAAAGACATGTGTATTTCCTTTAAAAACAGTTTCAAGTGAATTTTCAATGCTCGTTAAAAGGTGCCAGGTTGATAGCCCTGAGTACCCTGAAATCCTCTATGAATCCAATAACATTCACTTTAATATACTGTTTTGTTTGAAGAATTTACAGTAAAGCTAATTCAAATCAATATGAAAGGGAAAGTAAAATGATCAGGTAAGGACAGAATGTCTTGCCTGCAAACTACAATTGTTTTGATACGGAAACTGTAGTTTTCTTTGAGATTAAAAGATAACATGCTGTTATCTATGAGAAAGCCATCACACAGAGCTCATTTAGTATCCAATTATATTACCTTAATATGTATTCTAAGGAGCAGACATGAGCTTCAAGGAAAATAAGCTTCATAATGGAGGTCTGCTTGTTGTTCAATAAACTGGTAGAGAAGTTAAAATCGACAAATGTAACAATCTCTCAAAGCAGAATTTATATTGCTTTAATGTCTTAATTTGAAAGATATAATTTGAAAGCTGCCTGGGATTTGAACCAGTTCAGTGCTAAAAAAAAGAAACACTGAATCCAAAAAGGATACAATGATATCCCCTGTAATTCACAGAATCATAGAATATCAGGGTTGGAAAGGACCTCAGGAGGTCATCTAGTCCAACCAGCTGCTCAAAGCAGGACCAATCCCCAACTAAATCATCTGATAATAATTAAGGGGAAAGCTCTTAATTTTAACGATGTGTGAACAGTATGGCAAAATAAATGACACAACATGAGACTGTGTATAGAATATGAACAGCTGGAGATCAGCTGAACTACTGCATCTTTTGGAAGTTATGTTTTTATTTGCAAACACAGATAGAGAATTTCCTTAATTAGTTCTCACCAATCTCTCAGTTTAAAAACTAGGAACTGACCTGTGGTTGGTAGCCAATCACACTGATACATCTTGGATCAACAAATGTGATTATTCCATCAGAGTTGTGTCTAGACAAGAACTCGGTAGGAACAGACATTCCATTCATGTCCATGCACACAGGTGAGCTAGTTACCTAGGACAAACAATCAGATAAACATAATTTTGAAAAGGAACAGTCACCGTAAGTAGAGGTTGCTTTTTCATTTAAAACAACAAAATCTGTTAGTTTATTGACAACTATGTAAAGGGTTCATAAATAAAACAAGGACATGAATAAAATGAAACTGAAATGGCTTCAGTCTAGTCCACAGCACAAAAACATCACTCCATTACACACACCCTGGACTAACAGAACAATATGAAAACAAGCCATCAAAGATGCCTCACAAAGAAGGTTCTAACAGCTAACTCAAGGAAGTTCCCAAAGAACCGTGACACAGTTCTCTCCCATTGGGCTCTTAAGGTATGTCTACACTGCAAGAGGTGTGATTATAGCACAGGTATGCCTCCCCGTGCTACAATCACACCTTCACTTGCAACACAGACCTAACGTTAAGGGCATAATGCTAACACAGCAGATATCACCGTTAAAAGAAAAACAGATTTTCTGTAAATTTTCATAACGGTTCTTAGAATGAAGCATTTCTAGGTTCCTACTTCAGATCTGTGCAGCCAGCCAAGTTAATCTACTTCTATCCATTTCTACGTGGGCTAAGAGCGAGAACTGTCTTTACTTTGACTTTCTCTTTCATCCTAAACAACTAGGCCTGTTAAAGAGGCACAAGCAATCTGTACAAAATTTCTTTTTGATCTCTGCTCTGTAGCACAATAGCATCAAAACGCCAGTTAATAAGAGCAGGGAGGTGATTAGCTGTCACTTTATGGCTTACTATTTGGAGTGCACAGTTTTAAAATTTGTACACCTTGATTCCTTTGTGATTAAACTTATCCACTGAGCCACTGCTTGCCTGCCCTTGCCTTCACTCACTGAGGGCCTGCTGGCTATTCTCTTATGGAACAGATGTTTTGACGCTCCACAAATTATTAATAGGATTTCTGGGCAAGAGTCTATTTTGGCATCTGTAACATCTGCAAACTCCGTAATTTCCTTCTGTCCACCACTTGAGTATTTTATCTTTGAATGCAAGTGTGATTAAGTGGAAAATGTCATAGCAATGCCACAAAAATATCGTATCGCACAGGAGACACTATCTGCAGAAGTGATAACATTTCCAGTATGATGCTCATCTGAACAGATATTGGTTTGGCAGCTACACTCCAATGACACTGTCATTCTGCCATTAAGAGGGAACAATGCCATCCTAACAGATGGGCATGAGTGAAGGCCAACAAAAACCATGCATTAGGATCAAACGTTTTTACTAATGGCATGATTCCCAGACAGGAACATAAAAATGGCTTCCTTATTATGATTGAAAAGGTTCACCACTGCTGCTCCAGCTCCAACTCCAAACTCTGATCCACTAGGACTCCATTAGCAAGGGATGAAGGGAGGGAAAATACAGGACACACAGATTGCTTCAAATTTGGATATATTGATCAAATGAGATGTAAAATCCTATTTACACTACTTTCAATGGACTTCTACGCATGGATCTGCCATACAATATCTCAGCAATATTAAGTGATTATGTGTGTAGAATAAAGTTATGCTTTGAAAAGCATTTAACTACTTAGGGCCTCTTGACTGCATTAATTTTATTGTTTTCAAATGAGCTTTTGCAACTACAGGTTTTCCAGCCAGTTAATTACCCTTTTAAATCAGCAACTAGAGAAAACCTATTCACAACAGTTTCCACCCCCTGACGTTTCCCTTGTCAGGTACCCAGGAAACTTCCAGAAAGAATCATTTCTACTGTCCATCCAATTCCAAGTGAGTCACTTGGCTGGGCAGACATCATAGTCTTGTGCTTTTTGTGGCATGGTACAGACACTAATCTTCTAACCAGAGCCTGTCAGAATCTTATATAAAACTGTACTACAACACTGACTAAATGTTTTCAGCAGCAGTGGATGTAATAAAAAAGCGTTTTTACCTGAAGCCTCCCTATTGCCACAAGGCAATATTTGCTACCTTGTCCCACTTCTGCATCTTCTTCTGGTATAGTCATTCCTAAAATAAACAACAACAACAAAACCATTGTTACTGCTAGGAAAGGTGAATAAACAGAATCACTTGCCTGTTTTTATAGATGCTTTCAATTTTACAAACTAGTCACTATCTTCTGGCTTCAATTAGACAAAGGGAAACACATACACAACGGCCACTAGACTCTGATGCTGGCAATAACATTTTGATTAATATTTCTTTTCAGATTATTACTGCAAGATGTAATTTATGCATTTTTCTTTGGTATAGTATACACCAAATATCAGCTTTCAAAGAAAGGTACAACGTGGATTACACACCAACTTCAACATTTAGACTGGTTACCTGCCTTTGCATTAAATGGATTAGTTTCCTTTATTATAAAATATCCAGCATGCTTTGTTATGCTGAAAGGAAATAGCAGATTGAAAAACATGGGTATTTCATTAAACTCTATTTGTTTTCAGTTTTTCAATGGGATTAACTATTACAGACATGAATAATATCAAAGCATACGTGTAGGCTATTTTCCACTCGTGTTACACAAATAGAAATGCTCTTTACATGAGCGTTGTTTAGATATTATTCGGTTAAGCCTTTAGTAAGTAGATTTCTCAATCTAAGTTTTGAGTTATCCACTTCCTATGATACATTTAGGAAAAACTCTTCTATTGGTAACATTGTTGATTTATTTTAAGCTATTTCCAAGCTCTTTTCCCAATGTTTATTGGAATTAAGACACAACAGAGAATGAATCATTTTAAAAAGCAGTTTAACGTGTTAGTGAAGTTAACTGCAAAGTAAGCTACCGGTTATGAAGCAACAATCATGTTCAGAGATTATCCTCATGACATTTATACTTCCTAATACAAGTCAATCACACTGCATGCAACCTTGAACTGTTTAGAGAAGAACCGGATATAGCTTTTTTAACATGATGCATATGAAAAAACCCTAAAAACACTGGTAATTTTAGTGATGAGGTTTCCCAGATAAACGGTTCATACTAATAAACAGTGTTATTTAACCACACAGTTTCTGAACATTGGCACAGAAAGTATTTTCCACTTTCCCACAGTTATAGGACATAGTAAACTGTACATGAATATGCAAGAAAATAATGAGTATTTTGTGCAATATACTCAATCACTTGTCATTTTGTTCATTGCTCACAGTGAAGAATACATTCTGAGGCCCAAATTCTGACTCTTGGGTAATTATAATTAGCTCTGATTTCACCTGTAGATTTCAAAGGGACTTTACAATGGAGAAAAAGATTTATTGTCCTCCTTCTACAGATGGTGAAAGTGAGGCACAAGTGATTTGCCCAAAGGTACACAAGCTAAAGAGACAAGGTGGGTGAGGTAATATTTTTTATTGGACCAACTTCTGTTGTTGACAGGGAGAGCATGAGAGAACTGTGTAGCTCAAAAGCTTGTCTCTCTCACCAGCAGAAGTTGGTCCAATAAAAGACATGATCTTGCCCACCTTGTGTCTCTAATATCCCGGAACTGACATGGCTACAACACTACGTACAAGAAGTTAAAAGCAGAGCTGGGAATAAAACCCGCGTCTCCTACCCAATGCGGCGCCCTTCCTCTTAATGCATGCACAGATCCTAATTTGGCCCTTAATGAGCTTCTTTACATTTAAAGCTCTTTGATGTTCCTGAATAAAAGCCATACACTTCCTTTGACCCATGCTCAGGAGTTCTATGCACAGACCAACCTAGTATACGAACTTAAGGGAACACTTTAAAGGAATCACACATTAAATAGAGAGTTTTAAAACACATCGAGTTCCATTTGTCCATACTATTTTTCAAATGAATAGTTTATTTTGCAGACTTGGAAAAGGCGGTCCCTGGATAATTCAGGATTTGATTCTCATTTTCACTAAGGATCCTTACACAACTCTGGCAGGGTAAAGAACTCTTAACGTGAACATAAGTTACATTTACACCTACTTCAAGGCCCCTTTACACTCTCGGGATTCAAAGGGGTCTTAATGTTAGTAAGAATCAGGCCCATACAACAGTTAAGTTAAAAAGTAATACCTTTAGTAGAACAAATAGGACTACAATCTATAACAAATATAATTACAATCTCTGATTACAACTACACATCCCATGCTGCCTGAAGAATATTCATCTCCATACATCAATGAAAGACATTAACACACGTCTGCACCAAGGATAAAATAAAGCACCAATGTGAAAACAGAGCTACTGAGGCACGGTGTAGGGTTTTTGGTTTTGTTTTCACTGCTGTGTTTATGCACAGTGGAAGTCTTTCTCAAGTACTGAATTTAGTCGTCATCTGATGGCATAAAGCAGCTTAAAAACACACACCGGGACAAAGTTAGGCTACCTGTTGTGAAAATGGAGGTAACGGTATCCTGAAAAAGAAGGACCAAGCACATGTACTTAAAGCTTTATACACTGACAAATACAATTCTGGAGTCAGGCTATTAGTAAAGGCCAGGGTCCAAAAACATATAAAAATACTCTTTTGCATGGAAACACTATTTTCTCACAGAGGCCAAAAGTAGTCCTCCTGGGGATTGTGTGCAATCTGCAGGAGATGTTAAGCAGAATCCATTATCCCTTCCCCCTATAATGCTGTGAACAATAATCTGAAAATAGAATTGTATACAGGAAAAACAAATGTAAAAGTCACGATGGACAATGAAAGAAATAGAAATAGCAGGAGGAGCATATACATTGGTCTCAACGATTAGTATTAATACAACAATATCACTTATTTTGAGCTGCACCTCCCCCCACCCCCCGCCAATACTTTTAAAAAGATGAGGCACCTCTGCCATGAGATGTTTATGGGATTAATTTTCAGAGATGCTGAGGACCTGCTTTTCCCCACTGACTTCAATGGGATTTAAGGGTGTTTGGCTCCTCTGATATTTTTTGGCCTAAATATGTATTTAAGCTCTTAAATTTAGGCAGTCAGGTTGGATAATGTTGGCTGAAGACGCTCATTTTTATAATGGTGTTTTCAATCTAAAAATAACATTTTTAAGGTATTTCCCCTCAGTTTCAATGAGCTTTCTTATAGTTTCCTTAAAGACACAGCATACCACGAAAGAAGGCAAAAGCTATGCAGCTGGATGGTTTCCATTTCTCATAATCTTTTTGCTGATGTGTTCAATAACACTTTCCCTTTTTTGGAACTTGGTTCACGTCCACGACTGCCCAAATAAACCCAAAGCAACATAAACAATCTCCAAAATTAAACCTAGCAAAGAAATGTCATTCCTGACTGAGCTCAGTGTTGGCAAGGGGAGCTGTTGTTCTAAAATTCACCTTTTTTTTTTTCTTTTTTTGTTTTGTTTGCGAGGTGGATTACATTAAGTCCATGCAACACAGTGAAAAATTTATTAGCTGGGTTATCCCACAAGACACACTATGCATAAAAATCTAGCTGCCTGGAATTAATCAGTACATGACCCAGTGAATTGCTAACCCTTCCCAAAGCTTCTAGAGCAAAAAATATGCCAAAATGATTACCTGCTCACCTGCTCAAAGTAATTTAGGTGCTATTATTGGTAGGATTCCATGCAGTATATTTTTGTTCTGGATGGAAATTGTTTTCCTTACTCTCTTGCTGATGGTTATAAAGATGCTATTTTACACCGGTGTGAATGTGCATAGGGGATCTGTACTTCCCCTATAATATATTCCCTATTAAATGTACTCAGATTTCATAAGGATAGGTAAGCAAGATCTATGCACTGGTCCCATCACCACTTCATCTAACTCTTAACACAACGTGATCTGTTAGAATCTGCAGTTGCCTAAAAATTAGTAATTCCAAAAGCGTTCCAAAAATTTGTACCCAGGAGAAAGGCTATAAAACTGGCCTATTAATAACATCAACAGAATAAACACACATTATTCACATTCTTACATGTAGCCATTAGAAAACTTTATTTCTCAACACCAAAACATATGCTACTACTAATAAACAAATGTAGCACTACAATTGAACCAATTAACATCAACAACTTACAAAGCTAAACATGAAAATAAATCACAAATAGAACACTGTGCAACCAGAGGCTATGCTGAATTTAACAGTATCACTGTGAGCTAACAAGCAGTTTCCCATAAGGTAAAGGCATGTGTTTAAGCGGACATAAGGAAGTGACTTTTTAAACAGTCCCTGATTAGTTTCCAACTTGGTCCTAACAACAGAATGCCATTATCTCCTGTCCTTCTGCAACCCCACAACCCTGTACTCCATGTGTATGTATAGATGCAGAATAATGACTTGTGAATTTGTGATTTCACTATATCAGCGGTCCTCAAACTTCATTGCACCATGACCCCCTTCTGACAACAAAAATTACTACAGGACCCCAGGATGGGGGACCGAAGCCTGAGCCTGCCCAAGCCCCACCACCCCGGGGGTGGGCAAAACCAAAGCCCTACCTCCCCAAGCCGGGGGGCCAAAGCCAAAGGGCTTCAGCCCCAGGCTGAGGGCCTGTAACCTGAGCCCTGCTGCCTAGGGCTGAAGCCCTAGGGCTTGGGTTTTGGCCCTGGGCCTCAGCAAGTCTATACCAGCCCTAGTAACCCCATTAAAATGGGGTCGAGACCTACTTTGGGGTCCTGACCCACAGTTTGAGAATTGCTGCACTATATTAAACTGAAAAATAGATATTTTATGATTGTTCATAACAGTGGAATTAAAACATACACAATATACCATTGCATGGCTACACATTATTTTATACCTCCATCAATTATTATTACCTGTACAGTACCATTCATGTGCATGGCACTTTAAAAGATAATATCTCTTGAATAGGTGTATGCAGGAATCTAAGTCCTCAAAAAACCAAAAAGGACCAAAAAAAATTTCAGTGGGTCTTAACATTGTGGGGGATGGGGGGAAAGAGTACTTGTGAACAATTCCAAAGACGAGTGAGTCATTTTTTAATAAGCATTAACAATTACAGTGCTGTAAAGAGTATTCAAACAACTATTTTTCGTTTTGTTTTGTTAAAAG